TGTAGCAGGGTGAAAAAAATGCAAGAAATCCAGGAGAGGCTTTCCGTAGCCAGCAGAAGAGGAGGTGTGATCTACTGAAAATATCAATATTTTCAGATTAGAGACTGTCCTTTTTCCTAGTGCAGAAATTAACTAGCCATGGCTGCAGTAGCAAATGAAGCCATTCTCTGAGCCGTCTAGGCTTTGAGAGAAACGCTTCCTGCCAGTGGAAGGCGTAGTAGGATCAGCCTACTATGTAGGTTTGGGACAAATCCATCTGGAATCTTCTCCTTTAGCTTCTACAGACATCCTCTCATGCTCAACACATAGTGAACTGAACCAGGGGAAAGCCCATGAATCCTTGCAGATCCCAGGTTGCATAACTGGTAACAATCTTTGTCAGGTGCAGCTGCCCAAAGGATGCAGAAGAGGGATATTGTGAGTGGTTGCATCAGGCATAATTTCTGCTGATCAACCTTCTTCCTTGCTCAGTGTAGCCAGTGTCAGCAGCCCTGGGTACAGAAGAGGGGTACTATGAGTGGTTGTGCAAGGTGCCGTTCCCAGCAACCAGCCTTCTTCCCTGCCTGGTGCAGCTGGCAGTGGCAGCACGAAGTGTGGAAGAGAGGTACTGCTTGCACAACTTTGTGGGGCTAGATTGCTGGCCAGTACCCCATGAACTGTGGGAGCACTCACCAGGAACTTGGACTCAGGGCCACTTCAAAGTAGGCTGGAGATTGGGGAGCTGAGCCTAGGGAAATTGGATTCCTCGCACACCCCTAGTAAGAACCATAAGAATTGTGTTTTTTATTCTATGTCTTTAATTTTGATAGGACAGCACATGAAGGAGATGTACTAATAAGGACATACAAAAGAAGTATGCTGGACCAGAACAGAGACCTGTTTAGCACCCTAACATCCTGTTTCTTATAGCAGCCAGGCAGATAGGTGGGAAGGGAAGTACACCAGACATGATGGCAATAGCAACCTCCCACTGATTTTCAGTGGCTGATATTCAGAAGCACATTGTCCTGGTTCTGGGAGTTAGTATATAACCATATATAGTTTTCTGTGTATTAGAAGCCACCTAGAACCTTATCCTCTGTGAATTTGTCTGTTTCTTTTAAAAGCCCTCTACTTAGGTGACTGTCACCAATCTTGTGATAGCAAATTACATAATTACCGATGCAGTGTATGGAGCAAGTACTTTCTTTTGTTGTTTTGGGATTTCCCACTGTTTCACTTCATTGGATGCCCCTGGGTTCTAGTATTGTGGAAGACAGGGAGGAAAACATACCTGTCCATTTTTCCATACCAGGCACAATTGTATACACTTCCATTAGGCATCCACTTGTCTTATTTTAAAATTTGAAAAACCTCAAAGGTAACATTTCTTATAGAAGAATTGCTGCAGCCGTGTGATCCTTTTGATTGCCCTTTTCCAATAGCCTTTTTGAGATGCCACAACCAGAATAATGCTCCAAGTGTGGTGGCACTATAGATATGTATAAACACAGCACAATACTGGCAGTGTTTTAATCCCTTTCCTAATCACCCCTAAAATGGAATTTGCCTTTTTCATAGCTGCAGCACACTAGAAGGATATTTTCATTGAGGTACCCATTGTGACCATAAGATCTCTTTCCCAGCTTGGATCTCATCAGTGTATATCTGAAGTTACAATGTACACTTACTTCATGACATTAGTCTTCTATTTGTCATTTTATTGACCATTCATCAGTTTCGAGAGATCGCTCTTGAGCTCTTTGCCATCCTTTTAAAAAACTACTTAGAATAATTAGGTGTCAAACTTGGCTACTTCACTGCTCTCTCTTAACTCTAAATCATTGATGAATATTCTTAAAAAAGCCTCAATGCAAATCCTTGGAGAATTTGCACCTTGCGTCTTTCCATAGTAAGAATTGTCCATTAGTTCTACTCTGTTTCCTGTAAATCCCTTCTTTTGTTCTAATACATTTGGAAGCTGGTTTTGTGCCTAGTCCTTTCGATTTTAGAGCTGTACTTCCCAGTGATAAGGCTATATTGATATGAATACGTATAGGGGGCAACAATGTTTTGCCTTTCCTGTACAGTATTTTGATCTGAGATTTGCTACAATAATAGAAATGAAGACATATTATCTACTTCAGGAGGAAGATATTTGAGTCCTTGTACAGCTTTCATTAAGAAGCAACTAGCCTTGGAACTGTTATGCTTATGTCCGAATGTAGCATGCATGTGTAAAGATACTAAGCATTACTCAGGAGTGGTGGTTTAAGCTGTCCTGCTTCCAAATCCATTGGGTTTGGGTAAGGGCATATACTGGAATTATTGTTGAAGAATACCCAATCCTTTAAGACTAAATAGGCATTTAAAGCAGGCATTAAGGGGTGGGACCTGCTTGGACTGTAGCAGCCTCTTTGGTCCTTATGAGAAGCTGATAATCATGTCATTGCATTCTTTCATTGCTATTGCTTCTCATTCTCCCAATGTTATGTCCCAAATATGGTATTTTGCTTGGTGTATTTGAGAAACTGCAAATGTCAGTGCCTTCTTACCCATAGGGCTGGGCATGTGAAGATCCCAGTGGGAAAGTATCAATTCTTGCTGCTGCTGCTAACAGGGCTTTTGGCTTCTGAAAAGCTACATTAGCTGAACTCTGCACCCAGGGTGTGAAAGTAATGATATCCAATCCCTTCCCTTCCTCTATTTCTTTGATAGAGGCTCAGTTCAAGGAACAGAGTTTACAAAGAAGCGCTGGGTGCAAAGTGTATGCCTTATTTGCATATCCAATTGCTTAGATTGCAGTAATTACCATGTGCAAATGGATCTATTAATCACTTATTTAATTAATTTTTGTTCTTTCCTATGTTCGCCTAATTCATACCCAGTCCCACATTCGGGGCATCTCTAAAAATCTTTAGCAAAGCATTAATAAGCAATACGACCTGTTAGCTACCCCATATCAATCAAATTGATTGGAGATAAAAGAATGTACTTTCCAGAATAGTGGACATAATGTCCCTGCCTTGCCCCTCAGTAGTTGAAGGCAGAGTGGGGGATCTTGGGGGACTAATGGGAAGCCTGAAACCCATGTCCTATTCTTCAGTACCTTATCCCTTATTAATAACTCTTTTGCTCATGATAAGTTTCTTTACAGTGTTAGAGAAATGGAATTGTGGTATTTCATCCTCTGTGTATGTTTCTGGTGTTCTACACATGTACCTGGGCTTTGTCTACACGTTTGTCCCTAGCTTTGGCAATTTGGTTGTGTGATGATCTTGTGTGTTTGGATTCAGCTGCAAGCTCTGGCATAGTTTATTTTACGCTCTATTTATACAGTGTCTTTCTTCTTATTGCAAGGAACCCAGGGTAGATTACAAGAGTCTCCTCTTCTCTATTCCAGCCTCAAAGCAAGAACCTTGTGAAGTAGGTTAGACTGTGGTGGACTTTGTGGTTGAGTGGAGACTCAGTACCTGGATCTCCTGAGCCCTAGTCCAGCACTGCAAACACTGTGCCACCCTGGTTCTCAATTTATGAGATATTCTGTATAATTTTATATGAACTTATATCTTATTGCTGTCCCTCTAAAATCCTAAATTTAGAAAGAGTATACCTGATACATACTTCTGCATCTTTTCCTGAAAAGAGAAGCTTTCAGCCACAGCCTCTCTGCTGCAGATGATCTAATGAAAATATTAATGCTGTTCTTGTATTTTTTGACTATCTCTGTCAGATCCCAGTATTCTGTCTAGTCCAATAGTCAATTTTTCCATAATGATCAGATACACAACTGTATAATGCATGTTTTGATGAAGAAATTAAGAATTATTTCTTGAAATGTGGTGTTACACTCCACCAATAGCTCTATTTCATAATATCTTCTCATTTGACTTCCCATCTTACTCCATCTTCTGGTTCTGCTTTCCTTGCCTGTATATTGTGAACATCTCTTTAAGAATTCTTGAATGATACAAAACATTTCTGAAAAAGGCTAAATGTTGAGTTGTTGTAGTAGAAAGTTTCATCATTTTTGCAATGTATTTCAATCCATGTTAGTCAAGAAAGAGTTTCTGAGCTTATAGCAGAGGTTTATATTGCAGACATTAAAAAGTATACTGAGGGTTGACATGATATCTATGACATGATGGGGGACATGTACATTGACACATAGGAATTAGGGAGAAGTTATTTTAAAGGATGTTACACTTTAAGTAACAAACATAACTTGCTTTATGCACGGTGCTAAAGGTTTAACGAGTTCTTTCTTTCTCAACCACTGAGAGTTCATAAATTAGATATTAAGATACATGTTCCTAATACTCAAAGTTAATGGCTGTTGATGGTCAAAATAGTTAAGAATTTTGCTACACTGTTGACTTTTGTTCACATGAACATCAGTAGGTAACACAAGCAGGGTTTTTGCCAAAAAAAAAGTAGTTGTCTTGTCTGTCATGGTGAATATTTGCTACACTTCCTGTGGACCTGACCATGTGTAGGATAGGATTAATTCCATCCCACCAGACCCATATATTTTCTCCACAGGTTTTCAGAATGTATCAACTCTGATATTTTTTTAAACTCCATGCTGTTCCCTTAATGCAATTTAGCAGAGATGTTATTTGGCAAAGAGAAGTTAATAGAAGTGTGTGCCATTAAAGGAGGCATTTCATGGAGGCATATATTTCTTCTAAATGCCCCTATTCTATAGAAAGCCCCATCCTGGGCATGTAATAGTTCTTATCTAGGAAGCCCAAACTAGACTTAAGGGCAGGATTATCTGTTGCCCTCCACATGTTGCTGGATTACAAATTAAATCATCCCTGAGAGATGATCAGGAGTTGGAATCCAACAACAACAAGTTTCCCAGCTCTGAATTAGGATTGGACTGAGCTCCAGTATTTATATTTGGCTTTTATTGAAAGTATGGGATTCTTCTGAAACGTAGACTTGAATATAAAGCTTATTCTGTGCCATCAGACTGCTCTAATTGAATGCAACCTGCTCTCTTTCCTGTCTTACAGGTTACCTGGACAATGCCAGTACTTAGGGCTTCCAGTTGCTGATTACTTCAAACAGTGGATTAATCTCAAAAAGGTACTTTCATTGCATCTCTCTCTTCCTCCCCTCCCCAGTTGCTTCTTCATTTCCTTTTCCTTCGTCCATTCTGCCTTCTTCTCTTCCTTCAAGGAGGTATTTAATAAGCACTGCTGTTTTGCATTGAAATGAGGAGTTATTTTCTCAGAGGCTGGGTGAAGCGAAGTTCCTATTGTATTTTCTCTAATAGAGTCTTACTATATTTGATGGAATATGGTCTGCAGCAGAGGAGAATCCCATTGTGACCACTCTAACGCAGCACCTCTATGCATAATAACTCAGCATCTCTCTGGGAAAGGCTAGGTCAGCTGAAGCATATCCAAATCTGCCCTCCCACCCTCCCCAGATTCCTACATACCCTCCCCAGTGAATATTAGCCTGCAATTTGTCAGCTTTGAAGACCTTGAAAAGTACATAGAAAAAATAGCTTGCATAAGTCCTACTTTATTTATGCCTTTAAACAAACAAACAAATGGCACTAATTCTGCTTCTTGCCAATTTTTGTGACTTGTTTCTTGGTTCACACTTTATGGATGAAACTACTCAGACATCTTGTATTTCTCTAGAGAGTCCCCTCTGGCTTCCATAAGAATTACTTACACAGAAATTCCCCAACCAGCCCTCTATGTTTGTAAGAAGGTAGTTAGGAAGTGGAAATATGGCAATTGGTGCACGAAAGCAAACCCTAGTGCAATGTGTAGAAATGCAACAATTAATTTAATAATTTCTGCTTTCTGTTAAGGCATCATAGTGCCATATAACTTGACAGTTTTTCATTTTCTTCTCTCTTAAGTAGGAGTTGGCCAGATGAAATGTGCCTATACATCCTCATTCTCTTAATTTTGTTTGTCCATTTAAAAAAAAATCAAAATTAATGGCATTCTGAATAGCGGAGAATAAAAATTAGCATGATCTGTTCTGTCAAATATGGGTGAGGCACATATGTAATGAGGGAAGTGCTGGCAGCCAGTTCCTCACTGAGGCTGATGGGGGGTTCCTTCATTCCCTGCTGTCAAAGCAAATCTTTTGGCTTATTGCTGGGCTTTAGCAAATGTATTGTGAAAGCACATTGGGGCATTGTGCAGTTCAGTGACCATTAATGATCGCCATTTGAAGTTCACTAAACTTCTGTTGAATGCATAGAAGTGATATAACCAGCCAGTTGATGGACATTAAGAAAAAAGCCAAATCCCTGTGCGTGGTGCTGATTGATATCAGCTGGCTGAAACCCTTGGCTGTGTTGTACCTCCTCCCCTTAGGACAATATGTTATGTCTTTTTGCCATCATTTTGGGCTATCAGGTTCAGCCCACATGAAGTCTGGCTTTTATTATGTATAATCCTTTTTGACATACAGTCAGAGCAAAATTTTATGTTTCTTCCAGGGGAATAGCTTCATGGTAGATATGTTTGATGAGAATTCATGATGTTTCAGTATCACAGGAATGGGAGCAGCACAAAACCCCAGGACAGAATCAGCAGAGATCAGGGCTCATATAAATAAAACAGAAAAATCAGGGCCAACATCACTTAGAAATCACTTACTCTCTGATCAGCTGTGGTGACCCATGTAAGACTTTGTCAGAAGGAAATAGATGCTCACTTTCTCTGCAGTGTGGAGAGGAAAGGATTGGAATGGGTATCTAGTCCTCATGTTTTCTACACTGCCAAGAGGGAAGAGTGTTTAGCCTTAGGCTTGAAAAATCTCTAATTTTCCACAGGAAAGCTCTCAATACACTATGGTTAATTGGTGTCAGATCTATTACTTACTTATAATTTCCTGATGTCTGAAAGAGGGGTAAAGTTTGACATAATGCTAAACTATGGCTTATATAATTTAGCAGTGGGTTATTTGTGTGTCCAAGCCTTCCCTGCATGATTTATTTTCTGTTTGAGGTTAAGAAACCATGATGTGAAACCATGGTTTGAAGTTGGCTTTAAATCTTGACATGAGCTTTCCATTATGTCTGAACTTGCTTAATTTGTCCTAGTTCACAACCCCCAACTGCCTACTTAACCATGGAGACATGAGGCAAGAGCAGTTAGGCAACAAAGCTCTGTGAAGCATCCCTGCCATTTTTCCAGCCTTCAGGTGCCTTACTTGCTGTGTCTGGCTTGACGCTTCTTTCATTGTCCACCTGTTGTGGACAATGCCTGCTCTATCATGGAGCTATGCTGTGCTTTGAGGACAGTCGTAGGTAACTACTACAAAAACAGAGCCAGATTGCCTGTGGAAAGATTTTTTGGATGACTAAATTTAGAGCTAGGGTCTTGATAGAATTTGGATAAGCTCTTAGAGTTTGGACATTGAGGACCTGGTCATAGAAGAGAATCCAGGTGATGCTTTAGTCTTGATTAGGTGTAGACCATTGGCAACACTTTCTGTCAATTCATTTTGGACAATTATTCCCATGATACTCATGGCCCAAGACTGTTCCTGTGCATGTGTGCTAATAAGAATCATTATTCTGAGAGCCAGTGTGGTGTAGTGGTTAAGAGCATGGGACTGGGACTTAGACGATCTGGGTTCTAGTCCCCGCTCAGCCATGGAGCCAACTGGGTGACTTTGGGCCAGTCACAGACTCTCAGCCCAACCTACCTCACAGGGTTGTTGTTGTGGGTAAGATGGAGGAGGAGATGTAAGCTGCCTTGAGCCCTTTGTAGGAAAAAGGCAGGATATAAATCGATAAATAAATAAAAATCATTGTAATTGATTACTGAATATATATAACTGTTTCTAGGAAATACCTCCAAGCTTAAGTGATAAATTAACTAACCAAACTTATTGTTCTCATGCGTTGTACTCTTTGGTGAGCAGTAAGATTCCTTATAAAGAAGACAATTAGTGTTCTTCATTGTATACAGTGGTGCAGGGTGTGAAGGAAGGGTGGGATTAGTTCTTAGGAAGTTAGAGGCTAACTTCAATTGTTTTCTGGTGTCTTGTAGAGATTGGGGAGTTGTGGAAAGAGCTTGCCAGTGAGGTGATCTGATTACAGTAAACTTCAACAGTATTTAAGTGTATGTTTTACTAAAAGATGGGAGATAGTGCTAAAGCAGCTGTGTATGAAGATTTCTCTTGGAGCAGGGCCTGAGCAGTTAAGTATCCAACAGAAGAATATCACAGATCCCTCCACTGGTAATCAGGTTGGGACTGCTAGCAAAGTTCACAAAACAATAACTTGTTGGACTACAGGCAGAAATCTTTCACCAAAGGTTGAGAGGATAGGCTTAAGAAACAATGGCAGGAAACCTCCATTTGATGTGTTTAGGACTGCAGAAGGAAGGGAATCTTTAGGACTGTGTCTGGTTTGGGACATACTAAGAGCAATTAGAGATCTCAGAGAGGAAACATTTATGCTCCCTGTTCTGTTGCTGCAGCAATCTGGTGGTAAGGGAACGGATAGAATTGTGGCATTCCTCAGCTGCTGCAGAAGTATTTGGGATAGCAACAGAGTATTCTCAGAGCATCTTTGCTTGTTGGTAGGGTATATCATGACCATAATTGAAACCAGCCATGACTTAGTGTTATATATGACTGTGACCAGTGGAATTGGTGAGTAGTACCTGTTGATACAGGTATTGTTGCAATTCAGCAAATTGCTTGCTAAGTGGTTAGCCATAACTATACAGCTCCAACCCATTGGGACTAGCACATAATTGTATTTGGGACTAGCACATAATTTAATTCAAGTGTGCTACGTGCATGTTATGTTAGAGGGTAGAGTGGGTGCTAATCCTGGCCCGGTCCTTGTGGCCTCTATATAAAGGTCTATGGGGAGGCTTGGATGGTAAACAGTAGGAAATGGTCTTACTATATTAGTCAGGCAAAGAGTCAAAGTACAGAAGGAAATATGCTGGTTTTACCTGCAAAGAAGCAAAACCAAAACATGGCATTCCTCTCATTCAGTCTGAACGGTGCCATGTTGTGGATGTTCTGTTTTTAGTTAACAGAATTATACTGGCATCTCCTCCATTGTTTTATGTCCTCTACAGTAGGATAGGCAGGAAACTGATTCATGCTCTGTAACCTTGAATGTCCTAGTAATGATGTTGAGCTCTCCATATTCTCGCTGGTTGTCAGAGCCAAGATACTTCCAGTGGTGTTTAAGCAAAGAAACCCCCACTCTTGGATGCACACCTTAATGTGGTGAGGTGCGCTCAGAGAAACCAAGAGTAGTGCTGCCAGGAGGCTGGACTCTTTCACTAGGCTGGTCTTTTAGCAGGGTTGTCCAAGGAGGAAAGGTCAAAGCTGATAGAGCAGAATAAGATGCACCCACCCTCCTCTGGAATGATAGTCACATCAGCAGAAGGAAAACTAATAGTGATGGGGCAGAGACACTCCTTAAGGGGAGCTACTGGGGAGCAGCAGTTAGTTGAAGGAAACACTGCCAGAGGATATTTCTTAGACAATGATGCTCAAGCTAATTCTGGTGAGAAGTACATAGAAGGCAATGGTAAACCACTTCTGAATATTTCTTTCCTAGTAAGTTCTCTGACAAAACAATCCAAAATGAAAGAAGAGTTAATGCCAGAATATGGTACTACTTGGGCAGAAGGCACTCAACCAGTGACTGGGGAGGAGCAAAGGGCAAATACAAAAATGATGACAGGACTAGATCAAAAGCCAAAAGGAAGTTTAGTAGCTGATATGCACAGAGAAAAAAAAGGAAAGTCAGATGTTGCACAACACATAGAATTGAAACATGGAGTGAGAGAAGTACAAGGTTGGAGGTGACTTGACAGCACATGGCAAGCAAAGGCAAGTGCTCTAGTTAGAATTGTAAGGTATTGTTATCCTTTGCTGCAAAAGTTAGTACAGAAAAATGTTGCTTTTTCATGTAAAGGTTAACCACAGCCTGGCACATGGATGCAGGGAATGGATAAATGCAAGATCTTAGGATGGGAAGAAATCAGTAGCAATGAGAATGATCCCTGCTCATAGCTGGATGTGTTGTCAGAAGTTTTACTTCCCCTGCCTGCAAATGCTTCCCCTCTGCCAAA